ACGATGTAGACGAGAACCTGCGATTCCAGCTAGAGGAAGCACACGACACGACATTCTTCCAAGTGCGGGGAGAAGAGCTCTGCGCGGAGAGCCGCAAGGGCACACGCCCAGGCAACGGCCTGGCCGACCTCATCTTCAACATCAGCTTCGCGCACGCTCTGGGCCCACTGGAGCAGGAGCTACATGCAGGAGGGTACCTACTACAACTACCACCAGCGGGCGAACAAGCCATTGTCACGTCAGGCCAGCTCCAAGGGCTGGAAGGGGCCCTGCCAGAAGTATCCTTCATGGACGACGCGACATTCCTGTGCGTACTTAACGACAACACGAAAATCGAGAGCAGCATCTTCGACATATTGTCCATCATTGCAAGGAGACTCAAGATCTTCGGGCATGACCTACACCCCAAGAAGACTAAAGCGTTGCTGCATATCGATGGGCACGCCAAGCAGCATATCAAGGCGAAGATTTTCAAGACAAATCCCATCACGCTGCTGCGTGAGGATGGTCAGCCGCCAACCAGCACTGAAGTGTCAACGGCGGAGGTCACGACCCAGGGACTCACATTGGGCAATATCGTGACAAGTGATGGTGGGGAGGGGCCGAACCTTATGAGACGCATCATAGACCACAGATCCGCAGAGGGCCCCTTGAAGAAGTCCATCTTCCGCCTGCCGCACATCGACCTCAAGGCCAAGCTGTTGTACCTCACGGCACTGGCGCAAAGCAAGCTGACCTACGACTGCGAAGTGTGGGGACCACTTACAGCACAGCAGAAGCAGATGCTGCAGAGCAGACACATGGCGAGCCTGCGGGCCGCCGCAAGACAACAGCGACACAGCGCGGGACATGTACATACCTTGGATGACGAAATATACTTGTTGTGCGACGAAGTACCGATCCACATGTACCTGCGCCGACGGCGCCTGATGTACCTGGCCAGGATGGCGCATGCAGACACGCCCTTCCTCCACCGCCTCATCGACGAACTTTGGGAGGATGAGAAGGCCTGGAATGCTCTTATCGTCGAAGATCTGGACTGGATAAGAAGTTTCCTACTAGACGACGAGGACATCGGCAGCGACATCAGGGGATTGTTACGATGGCTACGCACACAGCATGTGCGAGCCGCACAAGCCACGATCACCCGTGCGTGGCTCAGGTACAAAGCATGGCAGCACGACATATATCGACATCGAGTTTGGCAAAGGCAGTTACACCGTCTTGCGCAAGAGTTTGGATTGACCACGCCCAACTTCGAGGGGCTGCCGCCCGCACAGCACTGTGGCTACATATGCTATGAGTGTGGCAAGATATTAAAAACTCGGGGAGCATGGAAGCGCCATCGCACCATGGAACACATCGGCTACGACCTTCCCGAATTGCTTGCCCGTTCGACTACCTGCCCTGGGTGCGGGAAGAACTTCATAACGAGATCCCGCATACTCAAGCACCTGAGAAGGTGCCCCAAATGCCTGGCGGTCCTCCAAGCAATCGAGGCCCCAATGGATTTGCAGGAGGCAGCCGAACGCCGAGAAGAAGAACGAGAAGCTGTGGCGGCGAGGAAGGCAATGGGGCATGGAGCTACAAAGGCGCTGGTGCCCGCCCAACAGGTCATACAGCTCAAGCTGGCCGACTACATAGAGCAGCACCAGCTCCAACTCTCGCCGGCCCTGCCTGCGGCAGCGGACGTCCAAACAGCGACACCACCTGCAAACGTATTCTCACCGTGCAGGCCCATGGTTACCACGGCTATGTTCTTGCTGCACCTCTTCTCGGGCAGACGTCGAATCGAGGATTTCCAGTGCCACTTCGAGATGAACATTCGGGAATGCAACTTGGTAGTACTATCGATCGACGTGCAGATAGACCCAGTCAAAGGAGACCTGACGAAGCCAGACGTCGTCGATTTTTGGTGCGCAGCGATACGACAGGGCAAAATATTTGGTATTGTGGCGGGCCCGCCCTGCGAGACGTGGTGCTCATCGCGCTGGCATGCCGCCGAGGGGAAGGCACCGCGACCACTACGTACACATGAAGCCCCCTGGGGCATACAAGCAGCTAGCCAAGCGGAGCATCAACAGATCGCACTAGCCAACGAGCTATACAGGACAGCCTTACTACTCATCACCACGGGCCTGCAGTACAACGTCTCAGCCGTACTCGAGCATCCCGCCCCAGCCACCTGGTGCCCTCAAGCGCCTAGCAGCTGGCAGCGAGCAGAGACGCTCTGGCTCCTGGAGCAGACGGGCGTCGAACTGCACTACATAGACCAGTGCCAGTTCGGGCAGGACGCGAGAAAACCAACATGTCTGATGGCGGCACACCTCGGTGAACTCGCACAGGAGCTAAGGGCGGTACCTGGGGGACAGCTATGCCGACATGCGGGACATGCCGGAGCTTACGGACGAGACGGCCAAGGCGGCTGGAGGACCGCCCCCCTCAAAGAGTATCCATCAAGGCTGTGCAAGGCAATGGCTACCGCTTTCGCAGCCCACTGGGGGCAGCTTGCTGACGAAGAGGCAATGTGGGCCGAAACGGACGACTGCTACCACAGGTTCTACGCCCCTTGGATTACTACATGGAGACACATCAGATCGGCCATGATTGTCACAGGGCATGGGGCAACCATCGGCGCTAGCAATTGGCACTGCAGCGGCTTATTTGGTGCAGTTAGTCGAGTCAAGCGTGCAGTATTATATACTTTTGCCCCGTAAGGGAACACTGGTCTGCATTTTGGCGCAGACCACCGGCTTGCTACAGATTTGATGGCAGCTGGCATCACAATATTGTATACAGAGTATTCAGATTGGCAGCAGAAGTGTCAGCATCAGCGCACCTACTGCATGGCCCAATGCCCCGTTGCTAACGGGTTACTGGTACGGCTGCGACCTGGACAACGATTGCGTGCCATCTCGAGGGGGGGGGACCCGTAGCGCCCATACGGGTGGGCACGATCCCTCAATGGCGACGGAGCGTGCCCCCCCCTCGAGCACTTGCTGGATTTATCGACTTTCCTAACATTGGCATTGTTTTCTATGATTATTTGGCCCTGGACAGGCATTATGGTGTGCTGCTTAAGTCCTGAGGAAGCCCCGAATGCGTGGGAAGACCTCAGGCAGCGTCGCCAATTTCGGCTATTGTTAGAACGCAAGACCTGGGGAAGCCCCGAATGCGAGGGAACACCCCAGGCACAAGTCGCCACGTATGATGTGTACCGCGGCGGCTCCTGGAGATCTACAATATGGATGGCGCCAGCTGGCTGGCAGCGGGCGGCCCATTGGCCGTCAGCGTACCACCGACCGACATCGACAGCATACCCAGCACGACCCCCTACAACTCCTGCCAAGTCAACGCTGTCCTGGTGAGGATCAAACTTCGAGACGGGCTCGAAGGGCTGGGGGGGAAGGACGAGTACTTCCCGCGCCCGCCAGCGGGGATGGTGAGGGGCAGGGGGGGGGTAGGACGGCCACTACCCGCGCCCCCGCGGTCCGCCCTAGCTCGCCACCCCCACCATTCCCATGGCGAAGGAGGAGCTTACCCGATCGCCGACGCGGCGAAGCTGAAGGCAGCAGAGACATTCCCCACCGACGACAACAGCAAGCACCAGGCCTGGGGTTCGCCCCCACCGAGGGCACCGTGACCCCTAGCCATAGCGGGACGAGGTGGGGCCGCCACGAACCCCACTTGAAGTCGGTGCATGGAGGCCTCTCATGTGCGCCCATAACCCACAACACAACCCCAGCAACAACACGCTATCCCCACGACCTGACCATAGACACTCAAGACGACCATCTACAGCCTATGGGACTCGCCACCGACCGATCACCCACCCCGCAACCACCACCCATCCAACCACCAGCACCACCTCGATTCCACCAGCCCACTGAAAGGAGGACAGGAGCAGGGTCCTCAGCAGTGCGGCACGACTCAACCATGACAGTGCCTGCTGAAAGGAGGACAGGAGCAGGGTCCTCAACAGCCAGGCTCGATCAGCACGCCATGGAGACACTGAAAAGGAGGACAGGAGCAGGGTCCTCATAACCAATCTCCAGATGGCACGCCCGCAGAAAGGAGGACAGGAGCAGGGTCCTCAGCTGCGAGGTACTACAAAGACAATCAACCCCAGAACCTCCACCGCATCAACAGCAACCACCACCTCGACTAGACCAGCCCGCTGAAAGGAGGACAGGAGCAGGGTCCTCAGCAGCGTGGCGTGATGAGCCTGCCACATCTGAAGCGGTGCTCAGCACGTACGACATCTCAGAGGAGCTCAAGCAAAGTGAAGGAGGCGGCGCACCGTGCGCCGCGGCGAGGCCTTCCCCAGCCTCGCGTGGCAGGCGAGGAGATTGTTGCAGAGCCGCCGAAGTCCAAGAGAGGCTTGGCGGGCCTCCACAGCGCTATGCGCCGAAGGGTGGAGGCCGCCGCAGAGAAGGCGGCCATCCATCCGATGACATGGCGGCTGGGCTCAGCGCGAGGCGCCGAAGGGAGCCCAGCCGCCACACAAGAGGCCGACCGCCCACTAAGAGGCCGAAGGCCTGGCTGCGCGCCGTGCTGCCTGAGCTGGCACGGGCGAGCGCGGCGCCCGCAGAGGGCCCAGACGGGCCCTCATCTTTTTAGTTTTGCTGAAACCCGGCCCCCCTTCTCCCTCCTCTATGTTTTATTGGTCCTTGGCTCCCTGCTTTCCTCGGGGTCGGGTTCCCGGGGCCGCTGTCTGAGTGCCCGCACGGCCCTAGAGGGCCGCTGCAGAGCGCTCCGCGCCCGCGGGGCGCGCGACAAGACGCTGCATAGCGAGAAACGTAGAAACGTAGGGCCGCAGGGATGGGATGGGAAGGGCAGGCGGACGAGAGAGAGAGAGAGAAGGGGAGGGGGACAAGGGGACTGGGGGGAGGAGAGCTGGGAGAGGAGTCGGAGGGGCGAGGAGGGCAGGGGGAGGGCATGGGGGGCGCGAGCGAGCGAGCGAGAAGCCCGCCCTCCAGACTTTCTGGAGCCCGCGCGGCCGCTGCAAGAACTCGGTGTACGTGCTCTGGAGGCCCGTCGTCCGGTCCTCGATCAGCGACTCGAAGAACCTGCCCGGCACCCAGGAGGAGGAGTAGGAGTAGGAGTAGGAGTAGGAGTAGGAGTAGGAGTAGGAGTAGGAGTAGGAGTAGGAGTGGGAGTAGGAGGAGGAGGAGGAGGAGGAGGAGGAGGAGGAGGGAGCAGGAGAGAGGGAGGAGGAGGAGGGGAGGAGAGGAGGAGGAGGAGCGAGAGGAGGAGCAGGAGGAGGAGGAAAAGTAGGAGGAAGGAGGAGGAGGAGGAGGAGGAGGAGGAGGAGGGGGAGGAGGAGGAGGAGGAGGAGGAGGAGGAGGAGGAGGAGGAGGAGGAGGAGCAGGAGGAGGAGGAGGAGGAGGAGGAGGAGCAGCAGGAGGAGGAGCGCCAGTACCTTCACCAGCCTGTCAAGCTCGGCCTCGACGCCTCGGCCTGAACCAACGGTACGGCCTAGGCGCGTTAGGCGGATGTGGAAGAATGGAGTACTTGTCCGGCATGTTCGGAAGCGCCGCTTTCAGGGCCACGAGGAATTGGCTTAATCGAGAGGCTGACCATGCTGTCGACTGACCATCTCCTTGGCAATATGGCACATCTAAAAGCACTGGGATGTAGCCAGCACGGCACTTTCACAAGTTACATCAAACGCTGGGTAGCGAACTGGCAGGCCAAGCCCGAGACGGACGAGGGGACACAGAGGCACCACCGCACGAGGAAGACACACGAGGTGAGTGAGTCGAGGGCATCGCAACTAGTGGGCGATGCTGTCTGGACGTCGGTGACAGCCAAATGCACAACTCCACCGCTCCTCGGTTACGTACATGCGGTCCGTTGTCGTCAACCCCCCAGCGACCGTCTTCAAGTAGGGCCACCGAACAGAAGAAGGAGCACGGACCAGGACTTCCCGAACCAGATCCCACCGCTCCTGAAGCCTTGTGGGGTGGTGTTATACTAGGACCACACGCGATGCCGAATCAGGAGGTGAAGCGTATCAGGAAGAGCCTCGTGAGAAAAAAAACCTGAAACATACACTCGGCGTCCTACCAGCCTCGACTGCTTCTCACACGGCCCGGCGCCCATGGCGCAGAGCGGAGCGAAGCTGAGAAGACGAGAGAGGAGGGCGCTGACACGGCTCGCCAGAGCGACGTGCTTCATGAAGCTCTGCGATTGACTGTTTCATTTTCCAGCACGGCGCACACCATTCGCTCCGAATCAGACCCTGCACAAGAATATGATCGACAGCTCCTGTGAAGATATCGGCAGCCTGCTTGAGCTGATCACCAAGCGTTGGCCATCGCCGTGCAGGCCATGGATTGGGGAGAGGAGGGGGACCAGGAGCAAAGAGTGAGGAACTCCGAGAGGGCGAAGGAGTTGGGGGGGGAAGTGCAGCGCTTTATGAATTCCCCACAGCTCTTGTTTCTGAAGTGCTCGGCTCAGTGGGTAGAACTGACGTAAATATGATAGACAAGTGACTACCGACGTGTTGTACAATCTGGACGTGATATCGGCAGACGCTTGCAACATGCCTAGTTCTTTACACCGGGTGACATATTTCTGATGCGAGGCGTCCCAGACCAGCGCGAGCGTGGCGCCAAGACCGATGAACGTTCCGAGGTAATTGGCATGATCTTGAATGCGGAACCCGGTCCACGATGGGGCGAGGCGCTCCAGCGTCTCACGGATGGACTTTATCACGTGCTGTGAGGGGCTCAGTCCATAGTGGCACGACCACGCGCTTAGATGCTTAAAGACTGAGCGTGGCAACTCTCTGCATCCGAACAAATTGGGGCTTAAGAGCTTGGACGAGGGCAAGAGAGCGCAGAGTCGAGCCGACGTCGTCGGCGCAGGCGCCCACAGCCCCAACGGACCGAGAGGGGAGGCGGCGAGCGAGGAGGCGGAGGAAAGGATCCAGCCCTAGCGCCCAAATGGTTCCACTGAGCGGGCATCCCTGGGCCACGCCAGAACGGATGGGGATCGATAGCAGCCTAGACCGCCAACGCGGAAGAAACCTACCATATGGGAGTACAAAGACGACATCGATAACTGATATCCTATCAGGATCTTGAAACGCTAGAGCACTTTAAACAGAAAACGGCGATTGAGGCTCGGAAAAGCCGAAGCAACATCGAAACTGATAAAAACTGGTTATCATTCTCTGCGCCGGCATCGAGAGATGCAATCCGAGCCTCGGTGTCCATCGTCATAACATGACGAACATAGCTCCTACCCGGAATGAATTCCTGCTGGACCTGATCGGTGGACGACGCAGCCACGCCTTGTAGGTGGTGGTTGATTGCTGATGCTATCGCTTTAGTGTCTTGATTTTTCAGACTTAGTGGCCTGGTGGACTCCAGCGCCCTGACGCAGTCGATCATGTTCGAACGCCCCGCGTCCGCCGAGCCCTTCGGGAGAAACGCGCAGTCACCGTCGCTCAATAGGGAAACGAACAATGGCATAGACATACAAACTCGGAGGTCCGCGCGGATTTCTCGGATCGGCGCCGGAGGCGCCGCCAAGGGGGGCCCCAGCGCGACCGAGAAATCCGCGCGGACCTCCGAGTTGTTATGTTAATATGTAATTGTTCGCCTCCCTACTCAAGCCCGAGCGGAGCCGTCGAACACTCTCCTCCTCCTCCTCCTCCTCCTCCTCCTCCTCCTCCTCCTCCTCCTCCTCCTCAGGGTGCCAGGAAAGCGCTTCCGGGTGCTGGATGCGTTATCGTTTCTCCGGAAGGGGGGGTCCTCAATGGCTTCCCACGGCTACGCCGCTTCTTCTTCGTCTTCTTCTTATTCGCATTAATATGTTTTACTATTATTTTTAGTAGTATCATCAATCTTACTGATATTATTCGTACTAGTATTCGACCTATTCTTCGTCTTCTTCTTACTATAATCATCATTGTTACTCTTCTTCTTTTTCTTCGGCTGCCTCCCTCCCTCCCCCTCCCCCCCTCCCGCACAAGGCAGGCCGGGAGGGCGCGGGCGTCGCGGAACACACGCTCGCGCCCCCCCCCTCTGCAAGAAGCTCGGGCAGTGCTGCACTCGAGCGCAGCACAGAAGGGCATCCCCCACGAGCACGAGGCCCTCCGCCGGCCCAAACGCACAGAACTCCCAAGGGTGCCCTCCACCGACCCCCTCGCGTCGTGATAAAAACACAACGGAGGTCTTTCGCTATTTTGGGCCTCTGGGGGCCCAAACTTAAGGGCCCCGTGGCCGTCAAAAAACGACTCGGGATGAAAACCAGTCCTGGGGAATGGGTCGAGACATCTGGGACAGCGCATCGGAGCTCTGGGTCCCCAGGGCCCCAGGGTGCACAAGAGCATCCAACAAACACGAAGAACAGCAGGGTACCTTCCCCGAACCAGCCTCGAGCTTATACATCAGTCCGACTGTATAACCCAAGCCGACTCGGGGACCGGGGGGGCGGGGGAGTCGGAATGGTGAGGCCTCGGGCTGAGCACAGGCAGTGCCCCCAAAGGTGGTCCTGGCTGGCCTCAACCTTGCCATCGCTCGGACGCCCATTGACCCTGCGTTTTTCCACTTCGTGCGTTTTTTTGTTGTTGAAGAGATGATCCAGGATCCTCCTCGATGGCCCGGGCCAAGAAACATGCCCACACGGCCGAGCGATGCCAAGCAACAGGCCCCCAGAGCAGCCTGGGGCGGTCTCAACACCTCAACCCTGTGGCTAGAAGAAGAGAGTGCCGTAAAGATAGACTTGCGGCGCTCCGCGCGGATTTCTTGGCTCTGGCGCGCCAGGGGCGGCGCCAGAGGCGCCGCGGGGAGGGGGGAGGGGCCAGCGCGTATGCAAGAGATCCGCGCAAAGCGCCAACAGTCTATGCTTATTGCGTTTTTTTCTCCACTGGGCCCTCTCAGCCCTGTGGCGCGGAGCGCCCCGTGGGCGCCGCCGGAGGTGGTCTCGGCACCCCGGCGCCGCCTCTGGCGGCGGGGCTCTGCAGAGCTCTGGAGGTGCGGGCTCCGTGGACCCTTGGTGTGGACGTCGGGCGGTGGGTGACGGCGACGACGACGACGACGACGCCGACGACGACGACGACGCCGACGACGACGACGCCGACGACGACGACGCCGACGACGACGAAGACGGCGACGATGACGACGACAGGGTGCTGTGTGGCGGCTATTGGCAGCGCGCACAACTGGGGCCTTCTGAGACGGCGGAGGGCTTCTTAGAAGGCTGGGGCCGCCTGAGAAGGACCCAAAGTTTTCTAACCCGGACATGCGACGTCCTGATTTTTGTTCCATACGCGGTCCCCGGAAGTCCCGACCCTTTACCCAAGACCGGTTTCTCATCCCGAGTCGTTTTTGGACGGTCCCGAGGCCCAGCGAGGGCCCCCCCGAGGCCGACATTGGCCAACCCCCCATCCCCCGTCCTGATTTGTTTGGAGACCCGGTCACGTCTGGGCAAGAATCCTTCGAGAAGCCCCCAGGCCCTTCTAAAGAAGGCCCCGGGACCTTCTGAGAAGGCCGTGGCCTCTGCAGAAGTCCCAGCCCCTCGCACCACCACCCCGCGCTTGCCGCCGAGGCGGGGGGGCCAGGGGCTGCAGCTGCGGCAGGGGCCCGACCACAGGAAGCCTTCCACAAGGAGGGGGGGAGGAGGGAAAGGAGGAGGAGGAGAAGGAGGAGGAGGAGGAGGAGTAGGAGGAGGAGGAGGAGGAGGAGGAGGAGGAGGAGGAGGAGACGAGGAGGAGGAGGAGGAGGAGGAGATGAGGAGGGGAGGAGGAGGAGGAGGGAAGGAGGAGGAGGAGGAGGAGGAGGAGGAGGAGGGAGGATGAGGAGGAGGAGGAGGAGGGGGAGGAGGAGGAGGAAGGAGCAGGAGGAGCAGGAGGAGGAGGAGGAGGAGGAGGAGGAGGAGGAGGAGGAGCAGGGCTTTCTGGGGGCCTCTGGGCCCGGCTGCGCCCCTCAGACCCAGTGAGACGGGGAGCACAATTCCTTGGCACCGAGCGCCTCCTCTTCGCGCTCGAAGCCTTGGGCCCCATGCGGGCCCAGAGGCCCCCAGAAAGCCCTGCTCCTCCTCCTCCTCCTCCTCCTCTCTCTCTCCTCCTCTCTCTCTCTCCTTCTCTTCTCCTCTCTCTCCTCCTCCTCCTCCTCCTCCTCCTCCTCCTCCTCCTACGCCTCCTCCACCTGTCGCTTGCTCAGTCGCCCGCGCCGTCGCCGCTGTCGAAAAAACGCATCCGTCAGAGCCGCCGCTGCGGCGGCTGTTGGAACACTTCTCGTCGCATAAGGGAAAGAAAAACGCCATGAACATGAACTGTTGGCGCTCCGCGCGGACTTCTTGGATCTGCACTGGACCCCCCTCCCTGGCGCGCGGAGCGCGCCAGGGGCGGCGCTGGAAGCGCCGCCGGGGGGGCCCCAGGCGCGGACCCAAGAAATCCGCGCGGAGCGCCACAAGTTTATTTTTATGGAGTGGTTTCTTATTCGATCGCCGTCGTCGCATCGCCCCCGTCCGCCGCATCGCCGCCGTCGCCGTCGGCCTTGCCACCGCTGCCGTCGTCGACACTGTTGCCGGCGTCGCCACCGCCGCCGCCTCCGTGGTCGCCGTTGCTGCCCACCTCGCCGTCATCGTCGTCGTCGTCGCCGTGGTCGCCGCCGCCGGCGCAGTCGCTGCCATGGCCGCCGACGTCGCTGCTGCGGCGCCGCGCCTATAGGTTGATGCGCAGCGAAGGCCGCGCGCGAGGAGCAAGCACCAACGGCAACGTCCGAACACACAAACTTTCGGTCGGGTCTGTCCCCCTACATGGGGGATTTTGGACAAATTTTAAACATGTCAAACAATACTCCAAAAATGGTTTAACAAAAAATTCAGAGCATCGTCCCCAGACATTTTTTTACCTATTTTGAACCTTCCTCCTGTAGAGGGACAGGCCCGACGTACCACAAATTCAGAAGCACGCGACGGTGGTCGCTTCCCCCCCCCCCGGACCTCCTCTCGTTGGGGTCGCCCTGCTTGACGACGTGGAGCTGCATGTGCGGCACCGGGCGCTCGCGGCGGACCTGCCTGAGGATGTTGTAGATCTTCTGGGACAGGGCGTCGGACCGCTGCTCCAGGTACTCCTCTCCCCTGCTTCCGCGCAGGTCCCTCCTCCCCCCAATCCTCCATCCCCGCTGGTCCTCGAGCATCCCCCCTCCTCCAACCTCCCTCCTCCTGGCTCCTCCTCGCAGGTCCCTCCTCCCCCCAATCCTCCATCCTCGCTGGTCCTCAAGCATCCCAGCATCCTCCCTCCTCCAACCTCCCTCCTCCTGGCTCCCTCTCGACCCTCCCCCACCTCCAGCCAAGCACTGTCCTGGCGTGTCCCCGAATCGATGGGAGGAGGAGGAGGAGGAGGAGGAGGAGGAGGAGCAGGAGGAGGAGGAGGAGGAGGAGGAGGAAGAGGAGGAGGAGGAGGAGGAAACGGCGGAGGAAGAGAAGGAGGAGGAGGAGGAAGAGGAGGAGGAGAAAGAGGAGGGGTAAGAGGAGGAGAAGGAGGAGGAGGAGGAAGAGGAGGAGGAGGAGGAAAGGGGAGGATGATGAGGAGGAGGAGGAGGAGGAGGAGGAGGAGGAGGAGGAATACACATACAAATATAAATACAAATGCAAATGCAAATGCAAATAATCATAATAATAATACTAATACTAATATTAATAATAATAATAATGCTAATAATAATAATATTAATAATAACAAAACTAATAATAATAATAACTTTAATACTGATAATAATACGAATACTATTACAAACGCGACTACTGCTAATAATAATGATAATAACACTAGTACTAATACTCCGACTAACAATAATAATAATAACGTTAATCATAACGCTAATAAGAATAGTAGTGACAATACCAATAACAATGATGATAATAATGATACTACTAATAAAACGAATGTACTACTAATACGGATGATAATACTCGTAAAATTAATACTACCAAGCAAAATAACAATACTAATATTCTAATAGTAATCATACGAATAATACTCATAAAGAATAAACGAATAGCACGAATACCAATACCAAACATAATAATAGAAATAGCCCTGATAATAATGATAAAAAATAAGAAGAATAATCCGACTACTTATAAGAGGAGGGGGAGGAGGAAGAGGAGGAGGAGGAGATGGAGGAGGAGGAGGAAGAAGAGGAAGAGGAGGAGGAGGAGGAAGAGGAGGAGGAGGAGGAGGAGGACGAGGAACGAGGAGGAGGGGGAAGAGGAAGAGGAGGAGGAGGAGGAGGAGCAGGAGGAGGAGCAGTGGAGCAGTGCAGATAGCGGCCAGGTGAACCACGAAACCGCCTCGAGACAAATGGAGGCAACCCAGCGAGGCTGGGGTCGCCCTGACGGTGCGGCCAGGTGCCAGCACCGTGCGCAGGAGACCACGCGGCCGACGCGGGCCGTGATTTCGAAACTGGGGCATCTTCGAGCAACGACGCGCCACGCAGGCCAACGGCCTCGGCCCCAGGACCCACGGCCCCCACCCCTGGAGGCACCTGCTGGGAGCCCACGGGCTCACGAGCAAAACCCGCTGGCACGTCGGCCAGCAACAAAGTTCCTAGGACATCTCCCGTCTTGGGATGTCGGCCCTTCTGGGCATTCCTGAGCAGCCTCTGGAGGCGATCCCACACCGCCCGACTCCCCGACGTCCCAGTCCCAGCCCCGCCCCCTTGCAAGCTCGCACCAGGCCGACCGAGAGACGCTGTGGGCGCACTGCGTGCGCCCCGCAGCGCGTGCAGATAAGCACGCACTCTGACACTTGCACGAGGTGGCCAGGCCCTGGAGTTGAGAGACAAGGAGAGGACTTGAGAGAGGAGAGGGTGGTGGCCAGCCTCCAACAAATCTTGCAACCGAAGGGCCCTTCAGGGAAGCCGACAAAAACGCGCGTGGTGGGCTTCCTCGCGCGCCGAGCTCTGGGGGCTGGCGCAGGGGGCTTTCTGGCGGTAGGCGCGGCCATCTTTGCCGCCCTCTCCGCTGCGAACGCAAGACACCTCATGCGGCTGAGCGCCCGCTCCAACTGGATCTTGAAACCCTTGGCGATCGAAGACGACCCCGGCATCTCGAGCGCGGCCATCTTCGCGAAGCAGTCGGCCCACATGTTGCCGAAAAAGTTATTTGGCGCCTCGCCCGAGTCGGTGCACGCAGACAGGCCCTCGTCGAACGAGCGATGGGCCTTGGTCCAGGTAAAAATAAGTCGGCGTTCGTCAGAACTGTGCAACTGCTGAATTTTGCGCCAGACGCTTGCGCGCGGGGCCAGAGGTCTAGCATGTCTGCCATCCCGCGCGGCCCCTTCGCGGGCGAGGCCCACATGATCGGTGACAAACTCGGTCGGCCTGGCAGCAACTGAGAGCCCGCGCAGTGCAGCAAACCTTTCTGCGCGGGGCGCAGTCTGAATAGGGCCGCCAAGGCCGCCAAATATTGCCTTGAAAGGGGCAGGGCTGGGCGCGAGGGCCACCGCGGCCCATCCGCATCTTCTGGGCGCAGGAGAATCGCCGCCAAAACAAGATCCATCACCAAAAACTGTTCCTGGCCACGGGGCCGTCACAGCACCCCTTTCTGTGACAGGCAGCGCGCAGGGCTCAGGGGGGCCGAACTCAGGCCTCAGAGGAATGGCGTAGAGCATGTTGATGGGGGTGAAGTCCCACTCCAGGCCAACTCCCGTTTGCCCCTGGTTCCAGGTATCCTTCCTGGCCTGCAAGGCGTCGTCGGGGTAGGGGTGCTCTTCCTCGTCTTCCTGCGGCTCGTGAACCGAGCAATAAGATCTCGCGCTCTAGGTCCGAGGCCTCGTGGCCACAGAACTCGCAGTTCGCGTTGTCCGAGTAGCCACTTGACGCCGTCTCTCAGGCGACCACACACCGTTGGAGTGCAGCTTGGCCAGAGCACCACGAAGACCAGTGGAAAGTGGTTGCAAGTGACCTTTCCTCAGAACACGCATGCATATGTGCAGACGTCCACCTCCTTCTTCCCGCTGCGGAGCTCCTTGCAGGTGATCCAGAATCCTGCGGCTTTGCCATCTCTCCAGGCTGGCAAACACGTGGTGCTTCAGCTCGCTAGGACACACCCTGAGCAAGCCATACGCCACACCAAGGTCGTCGACGACCACCGTGGGCGACGCCATGTCCCAGCACACCCGCTTCAGCGTGAACCAGAGCGCTGACAGCGGGCCTCTGGCGCTAGCCCAGATAAGCTGGGAGGCATCCCCGATCTGGTCTCTCAGCGCCATCCACGCCTGCTGAAGGTGCGAGGGCGATCCGCGAAGCTCCCATACCCAGGCTGAATACAGCTGCAGGATGCTCCATGTGGCATGGAAGATCGGCTCGTTTGTGCGCTGCTCCTGCACAGCGAGGTACAGGGTGAGCGAGCCTGGGCCTGAAAATCCACAGCAACTCCCAGCAACGCTCCTCGTCTGCTTCAGCTCGTTGTCATTGATACCACTGGCCGCCGTGCCGTGGCCAACTGAAGGCAGCGCGCCTGTGGTGCAAATTCTGGCTGCATTGGCGCGTCCAGCTCCCCGTTGAAGGGCGCGGATTCTGGCCTTCCCGCCGTGCATATTCTCCAGGCGGTCCCTCTGCACCCCACGCGCGGCTGCTGCTGCCCCGAGGTCGTGGCCAAGGTACCGCATGTGACGCTTGCCAGCAACCTTGAGCATCCTGGCAAAAGACTTGAAATGATAAGCTGTCTGACGTGTCAAAGCTAAGTGGCCTGACTTGTCGAGTTGCAGGATGAGGCCCAGGGCGCGCACTGACTCGCGGCAGACTTGGCGCGCCGTAGCCACAGACAGAGAACCGCGGGGGTCTAGGCCCGCCCAACTCAAAACCGCGTCGTCGACAAGGTCTCTCGGCCGTACCTCCTTCGCAACAGCGGTGGTCAATGTGATGCTGCGCGCGAGGAGGACCATCAGCATCGTGGTGGCGTGCGTGCATCCTGCCAATATACCTCGGCACACCTGCCGAGCTCGAGAGAACGAATTGCATGCGAAGATGGAACGCACCTGCTCGTAGAGCAGCGCCAGCATGCATGCCGAGCGCATGGGGAACCTGTTCGCCCTGCACTCGCTGAGGATGGCTGAATGCTTGACCATCTCGTAGCACTTGAGCATGTCGAGGAGGACGACCAGCGCGTGCTTGCCAGTCAGCTGCGCCGTCTCCTTTTCAAGCGCCAGATCGAAAGCTGCATCGGTGGAGGAACGCCCCCCGATATGGCCCCAGAACTCCTCGCTGGCACTGTGCCGCCCCCCAATCTGCCGACATCGGGCAAAGCGCTCGACCCCAGACCCGAATGAGAGTGTTGAGGGGCGCGATGAGGCGTTCCCCCCCCCCCCCCCCCCCTGGTTTGGGAAGTCGCACCATCTTGGAAATGAGCCTCTCCTGAGGCCAGAGTAGCAGCTCCTCGCAGCGGCAGAACACTTTAGCCATCGCACTCAAAGTTGCATCGGACAGCTGGTCCAGCACCCGCGGCGCGACCTTGACCTGCCCCGCCCCAGTAGCCCAGCTGCAGGCGCGAATCGCCTTGCGGATGTCGCTGCCGGAGAGGGGCGGGAGCGGGCCCCAATCAGCGGCGCCGATGGGGGAGCTCGACAGGTTGGGCATCATGACGTTGCCAGAAACCATTCCAATACTCCAGCTTCCTGTCGGCGAGCTGGCAGGCACGCTGCACGCCCTCGCCGAAGTCAATGGCCTCCTGGAGGGCCTGCGGCTTGGAGAACTTGTGAGCGCGACTGGCCCCACCTTCGAGACCAGCCTCGGCCCGCAACTTCCAGCCATGGGCGATCTCCTGATCGAGTGCGCTGCATTGCCTCGGCCTTCGCCAGGATCCTGTCGACCTGCTGCTCGAAATCGCCTTGCAGGAAAGAGCCCATGCCGAGCCCGAAGAAATCCGCGGCCTGAGCATCCAATTATAATTCCAGATGCCAGCGCGAGACGCCATGCGAAGCAAGAAGTTCTCGAACTCCAGAAGATGCTTCGCGGTCTCGGTGCAAAGCTTGTCGGAGAGCCCCCCGCGGGAGGAGGTCGGGGGCTGGCTACTTGCCGCGCCGGGCGCAACGAAGGCAGGCGCTGGGCGAGGCCCTGCGCCTTCTCCCTCAGCAGCTGGGGGCCTGGCCTCCTCCCATCCTCGAGGCTGGCGGTCGCGAGGTACGTCCGACCCACCTCCGGAAGGCCGCCGCGCACGGGCATCCAGTCCACCTCGCTGAAGCCCAGCTCCGCCGCAAACCTAGGTCCCCAACATCCCCGCGACCTCCCCCGCAACGGTCGCGGCCCTGCCGGGCCTGCCTCTCGCGCGCGCCACCGCCGAAGGCGACCCGGCCAGCGCCGCGGCACCTCCCCTGCGAACGTCGCCGGCAGCGCGGCTACCAGGCACCGAGCCGAACGCCTCCTCCGCCTCAAGCTCCAGTGTGGAATAAGTAGCGTCACCATCCGCGGCCTGACTCGAGGCTGGCCTGCCCCTCTCGCCGTTTACCTCTTGTGTGCACCTGGGGGCAGGCTCCAACAAAATCTCTCGGGTGCACCCGGGGGCTGGGGCTTGCGCTCTAACTGCGAGGGGTCGCTCTCCCAGCGATGCGCCGTCACCTGCCGGCGCCGAAGCTGCGCCGCTGGTCGCGCCTGATGACCCCCCCAGCCGCGCTCTGAGACCAGCAGGGCGTGCCAGCATCGAGAGACCTGCCGTCAAACTGCGGGGAGCTTTCACGCACCTCCCCCTCGCGAGCACTGGTCGACGAAAGAACAAACGCGGGGCAGGCCAGCTTGAGCACACGCGCCTGCAGTGCTGCGCGCACTCTGCGGGAGTGGCGAGCCCACCGGGCCGCCGTCGCCCAGGCTGCGACATCGGGTGCCTTGCGCTTCCAGGAAGCGGCCCCAGCAGGGTCGTACTTCTTCCATTCGAACGTCGGGGGGCGTATTATCCTGGAGGGGCGTCGGTCGATCCAACAATACCGAACCTCCCCTGCAACTCAAACTCGATGCCAAGCAGCAACTGGCCCCACACGTGAGCCACGTCCAACGCCATGGCGGCCTTCTGGACCCGACGGAGGAGCGGACCCCAGTCGGGCGGCGGCCGCGCACAACCTGCGTCGGGAGGCTTGCTGAAACCTTTCGACTGCACTAGTTCCCTGATCCACTTGTCCTGGGACTTCGTCTACAGCGTGATGGTGGCGGGCAAGTGCGGCCGCGTGTCCGCCTCGCCGGCAGCTGCGGGGCTAAACCGTGGGACCAGCGGGTAGGGCACGAAGAAACAGCCAGTCGTGCTGCCAGGGAGGGACTGCAGGCAAGTGGGGGCCGGCGGGACCACGGCTACGCCGTTGACAGAGCGCAGCCAGGCCAACGACCCCAGCTGGGAAATCTCCATGTTGAAACAGCCGCCCGCAAACCACGGCACCTGCATCGCTTCCAGTACTCTGAGGTACTTGTAGAGCTTGAAGAGCATGGCCAAATTCTCAGAAGACAGCATCTCTTCAACGCGCAGGTAGATCGAGATCATGGCGAAACCCTTTCGGCCCCCGCAGCTGACATGCGCGGCTGCCATCCTCGCGGGCCCCAAGATGGGCCCACCCAGGCCAGGAGGAGCAGTGACCAAAACACGTTTGGGCGCCAAAATAACTACTCCTGCCCAGGTCCCAGAGCCCAACCCAGGCAGGGCGGGCTCCCAGACACCATGGAAACCTTCAGCCACGGCGTCCCGCTGTGCATTGGCCAGGCCGCCGCCCTCGACACGTGCGTGATGTTCCTGAACCGCGATGCACATGCTGCGGCACGACTTCAGGTAGTCGATGAGGGGCCCACCTGAAGAGACGTTCAACGTAGCGATAGCAATCGAACCCGTCATTCCTCCAAAGCGAAGCACACAAAACGTGAGCATCCGCAGGCTAGACAATACGCCATTACTGAGGCTTGGGTGGCCGCTGACGTGGGCGGGACAGCCTGCGGCACGGAGGACTCGGACTTGGCCCGCTTGACCTTGGCCCCGTGTGCCTCGAGGACGTTGGCGATATTACGCTTGTTCCCCTCCAGCTGTGGCCATCGCCTCGAGCAGACTCTGCTCGTCCTTAGCGTCCACCTCCATATCTTCGTCTGGAACCTGCGCCTCCGCTTGGGCGCGGCCTGCTCGCTCTGCATCCTCACGTTCGGCACGTTCAGCTCGTTGCTTAGCTCGAGCATCGGCCCCCAGCTTGCGTAACTGCTCGAAATCCGCCTTGAGCCGCTCCGCCAACTCGTGGTTCGCCCCGAGCGCTGTGAGCGCCTCGCCCAGGCCGTCAAGTGTGACGGATCGGCCCTTAGTCGGCTCGACAGCGGCGGGCTGCCCAGTGGAGCCTTGAGGCGGGATGGGCACCTCGCGCTGGAGCTCGCGCTGCGCTGGAGCTCGCGCTGCAGCTCCTGCAACTCTTCCATCTGTTTGTCGATCTCCGCCAGCTGCCTGGTAGCGGCATCCTCCTGCTCCTGGAGCTGCGCCTTCCTCTCGCGGAGGTTGTCACGCTTGCGCTCGTGATCCTGGCGTAGCTTTTCCTGGCGGGTGATCTGTGCACCCAGGACACGGAGCCGCTGTCCCAGCGGCCGTGTTGCGGCCAGTTGGTTATTGATCTCAGACTGCTCCTTGAAGTATGCCTCCTTGGCGGCGACCATGTTCGGGTCCGTGTTGGACCCTGCCGTCTTGATGAAGTCCGCCAGCTCCCGCAGCCTTTTCTTTGAGTGTTCGTCGCCTGTGATGGCAGGCTCCTGGGGCTGCGGGGACGCCTGGCCCATGGCCTGCTGGAGCTTGGCATAGGCCGTGGCCAACTCAGCTTTGAGTTTCTGCACCTCGACCGCGCTCGTCCAAGCGGCCCACGTGCGGCCTGGCGCACGTGTTGACGAGGACGGTGCCGATGGTAAGCGGTGCTCCTTGAAGCAGAGGCCCGTGCCCAACTTGCACTTGGTGCATGCCATGGCGTCGGGTGCGTTGAGCCATGGCGATCCACGAGTCCCGACGCAGCTTTTGCAGAACCATTGATGCTTGCGCTGTTCCGCTCGGTGATGAGGCGGTGTCATTTCCCAGAAAGCAGACCTCGGGCCACAGAGGCAGGACAGGGTGTGGGTGCCCAACTCCCACGGTGAAGGCGCGAAACATATACTTCTGGCCGCGGACTAACGATATCCGTGCTGTCCCGTGGGGAACAAATCATCTTGAGCCAACATGGCTACGGAAGGAGCAGGAGGAGGACAAGGAGGAAGAGGAGGAGGAGCCAGGGGAGGAAGGGGAGGAGGAGGAGGGGGAAGAGGAAGAGGAGGAGGAGGATAATGAGGAAGATGCGGAGGAGGAGGAGGAGGAGGTGGAGGCGGAGGAGGAGGAGGAGCCTGCCAAACCGTTCCCAGAGGTGCTCTTGTGTATAGGGCGAGGTCGCCCGCGCCTGCCTCTCTGGGTTGGGCTGCGGTGTTGCTTCTGGTCCAACCTGGGCAGCCCAGCTCATGATCCTGCAACGCGGCAGCGTGTATTCAAACCTCCATCCTCCCTCTTCTCTCCTCGATGCTTCCAGCCGCGGCTGAGTTCAGCTCGTCGAAGGAGCCGACCCCGAAGAGGCCTTGCACGAAGGCTACGTCCACGTTCCTCCCGATCCACATCTGCATGCACTCGCCGTCCTCCAGAAGGAAAACCCCGTGCTGACTCATGCTCTCGCTTGTGAGATTCAGCATGTCCGGGAGGGTGCAATGGCCGTGCTCGTCTAGCGTGGCGCAGCTGTCAGGCGCGTCGTGCAGTGCCAGCATCCGCGGGTAGAAATATGCCGCCAACTGGGAGACGCACGCCGTCTCTAATCGCATCCAAATATAGGTGCGCCTGTCAAAGCCAATATCATTCGTTGTCTTGAAGGCCTCCGATTTCAACATGCCCATGATGTACAAGGGCAGGAACTGCAACGCCTCCGAGTTCGGGCAGATTGCGCCCGCCTGAACGATCTGCTGGGCCTGCGTCTGCAGCTTGTTGCGCGCCTCCGAGAGGCTGGCTGACAGAGCGCGCTCTAGATGTATCTGCGACATCATGGTGGTCATTGCCTGCACGTCTATTGATCCTGTCGGCTACACGCAAGAGTGACCCTGGGTAAGAGTGACCTTTGGTGCGCGGATTTTTGGAAGCCGCGGGAGGGACCAAACACAAGCGCGCAAGACGCTACCACCCCATCGCGCTCGGCGATCGGGGGACTCCATTTGGCCCGCACCAAAGGTCACTCCGGCGAAAGAACACTCTTACGCCTAGTCGATCCTATGACGTCGGTGTAGTTCGGCGTCGTCAGGCCGGCCCAGGTGTTCACGCGGATGCGCCGCTCCCCGTTAGAGTTCGTGTATAGCAGCGCGCTCTGGACGCACATGACGGGCTCGGGTGTGGCGTTCTCCTGAGGGAAGAACAAATATACAAACACAAACAAATACACGTCGTTCATTTCTAATCGTGCTCATTTCAAATTGTGCTCGTCGTTTCTAATTGTTTCTGGCCCCTGGTGGCCAGGAAGAGGCCCAGGATATAACAATTAGAAATGAAAGGATCTTGGCCCCCCAAAAATCAAAGAACTTTCGAATAATCGGACATTAACGATGTGTATACAAGGACAAACTTTAGAAACTCTGCGCGGGTTTCTTGGATCTGCGCTGGACCCCCCTGACTCGCGCGGGGAGCGCGCCAGGGGGCGGCGCCGGATGCGCGGAGCGCAGATCCAAGACGTCCGCGCGGAGCTCCGAAAGTTCATGTGTGTGCGCGTTGTTTGTCTTCTCCGATCTCCTCCATGTCGATGGCGATGCTGAACGTCTGGTCCGCGTGGCAGTTGGGAACGACCAGCAGGTCCTGGCAGGGGTCGAGAAATACCCCCGAACCCCCCCAGCCCCGATGACTCGAGAGTGGTTGTGCGCCCGAGTTACCTGGGATATCTCTGGTCCAGGGTAACTCCGGCGCAGGCCGCCCCCGACGGGCGAACTGAGAAATATCCCTGAATCCCCCTAGCCCCGATGTCTCGGGAGTGGTCGTGCACCCGCCCCCAAGTTATCTGGGATACCTCCGGCCCAGGGTAGCTCCAGCGCGAACCGAGAAATGGCCCTGGACCCCCCCCCAGCCCCGATGACTCCGGAGTGGTCGTGCGCCCGAGCCACCTGGGAGAACGTGGGCCCCCGACGCACAACCCACGAAATAGCCCTGGACCCCCCCCCAGCCCCGATGACTCCGGAGTGGTTGGGCGCCCGCGTGAACTCCAGTCTGGGGCAGCTCCGGGCCGGGCCCCCGCGAAGCACGAAGCAGGAGGCACCCCTGGCCGCCCCCGGCCCTGCTGCCTCGGGGCTCGGACGACTCCGCCCTAAAGGCCGCCGATCCACGCCACGACCGACGCAGCGTTTGGGTCGACGCCCAGCTCCTGGCCCCGAATGAAGAGGTGCCCGTAGAACTTGGTGATCTTCCAGCCGCGGCTGACGCGTACCTCGCGCCGGCCCTCGCGGGGCCCCTCCAGGCGATCCCCAGCTGGCAGCCTTCGGACCCGGACCCCCTCGCGTCTCGAAGACGTCGCGACGCAGGGTGTTTTGCCATTTTCGGCCTCGGGGGGCCCTCGCGGGAACTCTGGATGAAAGGCCTGTCCCTCGCCATCGCTCGGACGCCCATTCCCCGCGCATTCTTCGGCTTCGCGCGTGTACCTTTTTCGCAGGATGGCCAAGGATGCTCTTTGCGGGTCCTCGCCGAGAAAAAAGCTGCGCACGTCCGAGCGATGCCAAGTATACTCGGGAACAGGTCGAGGCCTCCAGAGGGCGACGCCGTGGCAGAGCAGCACGGCGTCGGGGGCCTGGGCAGGTCCCTGGAGGCCTCCAGGGGCCCGAGCAAGGCGGATGAACGCCCCCCCCTGAGATCCGACGTCGCGGCAGGAGCGCGACGCCGTGCAGGACACGATCGGAGCCCTGCAGTCGAGAGGCTGTCACGCAGGGGCCCTAGACAAGGAGCAAGGCCCCTTGAGGAGAGGAGGAGGAGGAGGAGGAGGAGGAGGAGGAGGAGGAGGAGGAGGAGGAGGAGGAGGAGGAGGAGGAGGAGGAGGAGGAGGAGGAGGAGGAGGAGGAGTAGAGGACAGGAGGAGGAGGAGGACCAGGAGGAGGAGGAGGAGGAGGAGGAGGAGGAGGAGGAGGAGGACCAGGAGGACCAGGAGGAGGAGGAGGAGGAGGAGGAGGACGACGAGGAGGAGGAGGAGGAGGAGGGAGAGGAGGACAGGCTCGCGTCATATCTGACGTCCCACCCCTCCTCCCCATCCCTTGCCATGGCGTAGATCGCCCCTCTACTCGCGCAGTCGGATGTCGACCAGGGCAATGATCGCGAGAGGGTGCGCGATGCATCGTAGAGCACGGCATGGCATGGCGTAAGAAGAGCACGGCAGAGCGTATAATGTCATATCATTGCGTGGCATTGCGTAGTGAAGCATGCATCACAAAGCATTGCAACGCAAAGCATGGTATCGCACAGCGGCGCAGAACAGAACACCGCACAACACGTCATGGCAGGGCGCCAGGTTCATTGGAGGGTAAGTGGATCGTCTTCGAAGAGTCTGGGCCAGACTGGAGTCGCGGCTCCATGTTTACCTCCCTGGGCCCCCCGAAAAGCTCCACACAAGGCGGGGCTGATGGAGAGCACCCGCTGGCTCTGCTTGCAACATCGCCTTCTGAAAGCAGAAACGGAGCTCCCGCTTGATATTTCCTCCAAGCGACGCCGCCCCGAAATGGGGGTTGGGTGGGGGGCCTTCTGCGGCCCAAAAACTCAAAGAATCGACACCGGACGTGTAATCACTTGCGATGTTTTTTTCTGAAGGTAATTTTCTAGATTTGGGGCCAAATTGGAAGGACAGAAAACGCCCGCGCTACAGCGGGAGCGCGTTTTGGAACAACCAGAGGCGCAGAAATGGGGCCTACCCTGCAGCGGGAGCAACATTTTGAAAGATCGAGAAGAATCGGATTATCAGAACACATATGGCAACCAGGAATTGAGGCCAGCGCTGCAGCGGGAGCACGATTCGGAACGAGCGGAAGCGCGGACATGATGCCAGCGCTGCAGCGGGAGCACCATTCGGAACGGGTGGAAGCCCGAAAATGAAACCAGCGCTTCAGCGGGAGCGGTATTTTTGAAAACAAACCAAACGAACACCCAGTTCCTGGGAATCCTGTGTGCAAGAAAACAGTACGCGGAGGGGGGGCGGATATCCTCCAGACGTCATCAGGGGAGAGAGGAGAGTCGAATTCATAATATGCAACTGTGGAGGAGGAGGACCCAACCTAAGAGAAACCGTAAGACAACTGTGGAACACTGAGCCCCCCACCGCACCTCCAGTCCCCAACGAAAAGGCGTCCTTCTTCTTCTTCTTCTTCTTCCGAAGGATGAAGAAACTCGGGTGAAGAAAAATCGAGAATTTCTGAGATCTGGCGACTCTGGAGGATGTCTCGGGCACCGCGGCCTTCTCAGAGCGTCCCGGAACGCTCCGAGAGCGTTCCAGAACGCTCTGGAACGGAGTTATCCGCGTCCTGGCTCTGCACGGTTTCCCCTGGGGCCGTATGCGACCCGAGGAGGAGGAGGAGGAGGAGGAGGAGGAGGAGGAGGAGGAGGAGGAGGAGGAGGAGGAGGAGGAGGAGGAGGAGGAGGAGGAGGGGGAGGAGGAGGAGGAGGAGAAGGGGGAGGGGAAGGAGGAGGTAGGAGGAGGAGGAGGAGGAGGAGGAGGAGGACGAGGAGGAGGAGGAGGTGGCCCCATCTGACAGAGTCCTAGACCCGATCGTCCTGCTGCATGGTTCCAGCCGTCTCAGCCCGTGAGGCTCCCAGATGGCCCGAGCTCGCCCGCTGCGAAAGAAAAGCAACGCCAGGGTCTCAGGGTGGAGGACGAGGAGGAGGACGAGGAGGAGGACGAGGAGGACGAGGAGGAGGAGGAGGAGGAGGAGGAGGAGGACCAGGATGACGAGGAGGAGGAGGAGGACGAGGAGGAGGATGAGGAGGACGAGGAGGAGGTTGGAGGACCAGGAGGAGGACGAGGAGGAGGGAGGAGGACGAGGAGGAGGAGGGAGGAGGACGAGGAGGACGAGTGGGAGGACGAGGAGGAGGAGACGAGGAGGAGGAGGCGAGGGAGGACGAGGAGGACGAGGAGGACGAGAAGCAGAAGACGAGGAGGAGGAGGAGAGAGAAAGAGCAGGGGGGAGGAGGAGGAGGAGGAGGAGGAGGAGGAGGAGGAGGAGGAGGAGGAGGAGGAGGAGGAGGAGGAGGAGGAGGAGGAGGAGGCCTTCATCCTCGAGCGTCCTCCCTCCAGTGGGGGGGGGGATCCCGGGATCCCCCCTCGCAGGGCACCCGCATGACGGCCTCCCAGCCCATGTAGCGGGTGAGCACGTGCATCAGCTCCTCGGCGGCTCGCGCGCCGGCGAGCGGCGCGAGGGGGGCGCCCTTCGCAAGAGTGCGAGGGGCTCCCCAGGAGTTCGCCCCGACGCGCTCGCGTCCTGACATCGGCTGCACCCAGGAGTGGCCCTGGGTAAGGGTGACCTTCCCAGACACGATCGCGTCGCAAGAAAATCTCAGGACGGAGGCTTTTCGCCATTTCCGGCCCCTGGGGGCCCTCGCCGGCCCCCGGGACTGTCAAAAAACGACTCAGGATGAAAAGGCGGTCCTGGGGAACGGATCTGGATGTCCGGGGACGCCGCCCTGAAAACACAGGGCGTCGCATGTCTGGGTCTGGTGCGCGGCTCTTGGAGGGCCGCGGGGGGACCACAAACACACGCGCGCAAGACGCCACCGCCGTCTCGCGTTCGGCGATCGGGGGGCCCCCTGGGGCCCGCGCCAGAGGTCACTCTGGCGAAAGGTCACTTACGTCCAGTTGGTGGCACAAAAAGCACGGCGGCATTTGTGTTGCCGGCCTCGGCCTGGGGGGGGGCCATCGCCAGGTCCCGGGGCCGTTTAAATGTTACTACTCGGGATGCAAGGTCGGGACGTCCAGGGCTCCGCAATGAGAAGTCGATGCGCCGCACGCCTGGGTTCGAAGCCCTCCAGGCCTCTGAGAAGCCTTCTTCGAAGATCCCTTCCTTTCCTTCCACGAAGGAGGCCCCCGTCTGAGAGAGCCCCTGTCTTTCCACGACGGGGGGCTGTCTTGGAAGCCTCTTGGAGGCCCGTCCGAGGGAGCGCTTTTCCTTCTACGAAGGAGGCGGCCTTGGAAGCCTCTAGTAAGCTCGTCTGACAGAACCCCTTTCCTTCTGCGAACGAGGCTGTCTTGGAAGCCTCCCTTCTAGGAAGGAGGCTTTCTTGGAAGCCTCTGGGAGAGCCCTTTTCCTTCTACGAAGGAGGCTGTCTTGGAAGCCTCTGAGAGGCCCGTCTGAAAGAGCCATTTTCCTTCTGCGAAGGAGGTTGTCTTGGATGCCTCTTGGAGGCCCGTCCGAGACAGCCCTTCTCCTTTTGCGAAGCGCCCCGCCCTCTCGAAAGCCTCTCCCCAAACGCTTGCCGGCAGCAGGAGGGGGGTGGGGGGCAAGGGGGAAAGAGGGAGGAGGAGGACCGAGGGGGAGGAGGGAAAAGAAGGATGATGATGATGATGATGATGATGATGATGATGATGAGGAGGAGGGAGGAGGAGGAGGAGGAGGAGGAGGAAAAGAAGAAGGAGGAGGGGGAGGGGGAGGAGGAGGAAGGGCGCCAGACCCGATGCAGGCCTGGGCGGTTTGCGCGTATTCAATAAACATCATTTTGTGGAGGCCGAACGTAACCGAAAACGGATCAGAAAACAAACAAAACTACAACAACCAAAACCCCCCAAACAAAAATAAATGTTCGAATGCAATCTGGCGGTCGACCACGGAATTATACCTGAAAGTTATTTCTCGTTTGTTTTTTCCCAACCATCCTTTGGTGTTGGGTCCTCGTTTTGAAGAGACGTCGCCCCGCGTTCCTTCCTCCTCCTTCCTCCTCCTCCCCTTCCTCCCCCCTCCCATCATCATCATCATCATCATCATCATCATCATCATCATCATCATCATCATCATCATCATCATCATCATCATCATCATCATCATCATCATCACCATCAGTATCATCATTATCATCATCATCATCGTCATCGTCATCAGCATGATCATCATCGACATCATCGACGTCATCATCACCACCATCATCATCGTCATCGTCATCACCCAATTCGGCACACCCCTCACACGTTTCGTGGCCTCATAGGGAGCTCCACCGAAGGCCCCTGTGGCTGCGTTCGCATGCGCCCACCGCACCCAGTTCGGCGCACCCCTCACACGTTTCGTGGCCCCACAGGGAGTTCCACCGAAGGCCCCAGTGGCTGCGTTCACATACGCCCACCGCACCGATTTCGGCACACCCCTCACATGTTTCGTGGCCCCATAGGGAGCCTCACCGAAGGCCCCCGTGGCTGCGTTCGCATGCGCCCGCCGCACCCAGTTCGGCACACCCCTCACACGTTTCGTGGCCCCACAGGGAGCTCCACCGAAGGCCCCAGCGGCTGCGTTCACATGCGCCCACCGCACCGAATTCGGCACACCCCTCACACGTTTCGTGGCCCCTCACCCAAGGCCCCCGTGGCTGCGTTCGCATGCGCCCACCGCACCCAGTTCGGCACACCCCTCACACGCTTCGTGGCCCCATAGGGAGCTCCACCGAAGGCCCCAGTGGCTGCGGTCGCATGCGCCCACCGCACCCATTTCGGTGCACCCCTCACACGTTTCGTGGCCTCACAGGGAGCTCCACCGAAAGCCCCAATGGCTGCGTTCACATGCGCCCACCGCACCGATTCGGCACACCCCTCACACGTTGCGTGGCCCCATAGGGAGCCTCACCGAAGACCCCCGTGGCTGCGCTCGCATGCGCCCACCGCGCCCAGTTCGGCACACCCCTCACACGTTTCGTGGCCCCACTGGGAGCCACCGAAGGCCCCAGTGGCTGCGGTCACATGCGCCCACCGCGCACATGTCGGCACACCCCATCACACGCTTCGTGGCCCCATAGGGAGCCTCACCCAAGGCCCCCGTGGCTGCGTTCGCATGCGCCCACCGCACCCAGTTCGGCACACCCCCTCACACGTTTCGTGGCGCCACAGGGAGCTCCACCGAACGCCCCAGTGGCTGCGCTCGCATGCGGTTCCACCACCCATTTCGGCACACCCCTCACACGTTTCGTGGCTCCATAGGGAGCTGCACCGAAGGCATCAGTGGTTGCGCTCGCATGCGGTTCCACCCCCAATTCTGGCACACCCCTCACACGTTTCGTGGCCCCATAGGGAGCTCCACCGAAGGCCCCAGTGGCTGCGCTCGCATGCGGTTCCACCCCTCATTCTGGCACAGCCCTCGCACGTTTCGTGGCCCCACAGGGAGCTCCACCGAAGGCCCCAGCGGCTGCGCTCGCATGCGGTTCCACCCCAAATTTCGGCGCACCCCTCACACGCTTCGTGGCCCCATAGGCGGCGCCGCCCCATTTCGGCACACCCCTCACACGCTTCGTGGCCCCATAGGGAGCTCCACCTAAGGTCCCCGTGGCGCAGTGCGCATGGCGCCGCCGCCCCATTTTGGCACACCCCTCACGCGTTCCGTGGCCCCACAGGGAGCTCCATCTCAGGCCCAAGTGGCGCAACTCACATGGCACCGCCGCCCCATTTTGGCACACCCCTCACACGTTTCGTGGTCCCATAGGGAGGGAGGAGGAGGAGGAGGAGGAGGAGGAGGAGGAGGAGGAGGAGGAGGAGGAGGAGGAGGAGGACGAGGAGGAGGAGAAGGAGCCCCCACGATATCCACAATTGCGGTATTCACAACTACGTATGGTTGGGTCTTTCGTCAAGCTATTTTTTTGGGGGAAAGCCTCACTATCGGAAAATTTTGGAAAGCGCCACAAAAGGATTACATGGGAAAACCTGGCAACTGGAATCCTTTGGAAATCACAACGAAAGGAATCGATTGGAAAGCCTCACAACAAGAATCCTTTGGAAAGCGCCACGAAGGGATTCTGTTGGAACGCCTCACAGCAGGAACCCTTTGGAAAGCGCCACAAAGGGATTCTATTAGAAAGCCTCACAGCAAGAATCCCGTGGAAAGCACAACGAAGGGATTGTTTTGGAAAGCCTCATACTCGGAAGCGCCATAAAGGGATTCTATTGGAAAGCCTCACAGCAGGAATCATCTGGAAAGCTCAACAAAAATATTGCATTTGAAAACGTCGCAATCGGAATCCTGGGGAAATCGCCACAAAGGGATCCCATTGGAAAGCCTTACTACTGGAATCCGTTGGACAGCACAACGGAGGGAGTTGATTGGAAAGCCTCACAACAGGAATCCTTTGGAAAGCGCCACAACGGGATTCGACCGGAAAGCATCACAACAGGAATCCTCTGGAAAACGCCACAAAACAACTCGACTGGACAGTCTCACAGCAGGAATCTTGTGGAAAGCACAACGGGGGGATTGTAATGGAACGCCTCACAACAGGAACCTTTTGGAAAGCAAGCATCACAGCAGGAATCCTTTGGAAAGCACCACAAAGGGATTCGATGGGAAAACCTCACAACAGGAATCTGGTGGAAAGCACAACGAGGAGATTGCATTGGAAATCCTCACAACAGGAATCCTTTGAAAACGCCACAAAAGGATTATATTCGAAAACCTCACAGCAGGAATCCTCTGGAAAGCACCACAAAGGAATTGTACGGGAACTTCACAACGCGAGCCTTTTGGAAAACGCCACAAAGGGATTCGATAGGAAAACCTCACGCCAGGAATCTTCTGGAAAGCGCAGCAAAACCAAACAAAACAAGAAAACAACAAAACAACTCGAATATAATCTGGCGGCCGACCATGGGATCCTATATGAAAGATGTGTGTTTCTTGCTTTGGGGGAAAACCTCACAACAGGAATCCTTTGGAAAACGCCAGAAAAGGATTCGATTGGAAAGCCTGACAATCGGAATCCTTTGGAAAGCACAACGAAGAGAGTCGATAGGAAAGTCTCACAACAGGAATCCTGTGGAAAGCGCCACAAAGGGATTCTATTGGACAGCATCACATCAGGAATCACCTGGAAAACACAACAAACATATTCTAATAGAAAGCCTCATAGCAGGAATCCGGTGGAAAGCACAACGAGGGGATTGTACTGGAAAGTCTCACAACAGGAACCCTTTGGAAAACGCCACAAGGGAACTCGATTGGAAAATCTCACAGCAGGAATCCTCTGGAACGCCCCACGAATGCTTGGAAAACACTACAAAGAAATTGGATCGGGAAGCATCACACCGAGAATCTTTTGGAAAGAACCACAGAGTGATTCCACGGGAAAACATCACAATCGGAATCCTTTGGGCAGCGCCACGAAGGGATTCCATTGGAAAGCCTCACAGCGGGAATCCTTCGGGAAA